TTATATAGAGAGTTATGTATGGCGACAAAGATTGACAAACTTGCCATTGAAGGTTTGACTCATTGCTGGTATGTGGGCGTGGGATAGGTTCACATATTTGACTCCTCCTAATCCTCCATATTTATGACATGATCTTCCTCATGGTGCTAGGTATGCATTTATTACATAGGTACATTTATCATTATTATTATTTATTATTAAATCAATTTTGTAAATTTTGTTATTATTCAAGTAGTTAGTAAATGGGGTGTCTAGAAAGGAGAAAAATGATGTCGCATATTATAAATATAAACTCGATCGTCCTAAACATGAAGAGGTAACACTTTCTGTTAATTTGTAAATGATTTATAATTAATATCACCTCATTGGTATTTAAATGATGTATGTTATTCAATTTTTAGATTGTATGGCAGCCTTATAATTAAGAGTTACTTTCATTATTGCCTATCATTGCCTTGGAAGGGATAAACTATTAGATGGACTATTTAATGGAATTTTTCATTCATTTTCATTGTTTTCAAGATTTTCTACACTACCATAAAACTTGTTGTTAGGTAAACATAATTACAATGATACTATATATAAAATACCATCAAACCAATAACATAACTATACCTGATTCAAAATTGACGTTCATAATCCTCACAAATATTATCATCTATAAGTGATAAATTTAAGTTCACATCTTGTGATCGAATAGAAAACTCTCACCAGATACAATACTCTACATATACTTCAATTACACTTATTTGGTTTTGTTGTAAAAAAATACTTAGCATGCAATCAATATTTTCGTAGACAATTTTAGATATAACTTGATTAGTAGACAATTTTAGTTTTCCATAAATCTTTTCTTTTAATGTCTCAAAATTTATTCTACATTTAATCTTAATCATTTTATTATTTTCTTTAAAGGTTACATCTTTATTACTTGAAAATATTCAACCATTCCAATACAATAATTACAAAATCAGTCATCCTACGTCATTAAATTAAATCTACATCCAACAAATTATATATCTAATCTTAATGTCACAAACTTGTCCTAAATCATTAAATATTCAAAACGAACAAACATGTAATGTATACAAAAATATATATACGTAATAAAAGTCTTCAATAATTACTCTTGAACAACAATAACTAATGCAAATGTACTTATTTAACAAATATTCACATTTACAAAATCAAAACCTAAAAAATAAAAAAGTATTACAAATTATTTACCATGATTTGTTATTTGTCATTATGCATTCTTATATTTTAATTCTATTAAGTATTGTTAATTTTATGATCTATATTTTATTTAAAACTACAAAAAATTAATTTATATTTTATTTAAATTTTTAATGAGTAATTATTTAATAGTATGAAAATATTAAAATAATCTAAATTTATAATTTACTTTTAATTACAATATATACTTTAAAATTTTAAAGACAATGTCAAAAAATTTATAAACTATAAATTAGTTGTTATAACCCTACCATACTTGAATAAATAATATTACATCATTTCTACTTTTTTTAACCATTTTATTTTTTTAGAATAAAAAAATAATATTACATTTAAATAACAAAATAAATAACACATCAATTTTTATATGCATGATTAATTTTTTGAAATTTTTACATTTGTAAACTTTATAAATTTAGTTTTTGTAACACTATATGAATTTGATATTTAAAATACAAACACAAAATTCCATAAATTTTACAACAAAATAATAACATTATATGTTTCATTAAATTATATTAATAACTTCTACAAGTTTTAAACTTTTCAAATTTTTAAATTAAATATTAACTATTTAATTTTTAAATAACAACTAACAATTTTGCTTACATAATATTTTAAATTACTACCGCCATATGCTTGAGTATATATTTTACAAAATTTCTACATTTTTTTCTTTTCAATTTTATTTTAAACAACATTGTTATAATTTTTTATTTAAGTAACAATGGCAAAAATAGCACACATTGGAAAAGAAAATACTGTCCATAAATTGCTTTATTAATTTATTTACATCTGATTCTTTTTTTTTCAAATTTTATTTAATAAAACAATAACTTTATCATTTTTAAATAACATCTAGAAATACAAAAATTTAATCACTACTAAAAAATAAATTGCTAGATATGTATGAATAAATTATTTACATTATTTCTACATTATTTTCTTCTTTAAATAATTTTTTAAGATTACAATAATTTTAAAATACTACCTTTTATATCTGAAATTTTACATAATAAACTAATAATAACTTAATATTAAAATTAAAAAACAAAAAATGCAAAATTATATATTCTACTAATTTGTATAACTCTTTCACTATCCTATGTGATTTTGATTCATTTTCATGGAGTTTATATAGTCAAGTTTTTTGGATAAAAGAGTGGATCTTTAGTCATGACCACTAGACATTAACATGTGTCATACGACCAACAGTATTGCCTTCTATTATCCAATAGTGCTGATACACTTTGACCAATAATATCACTGTTGCTCTATCTTATTTGATATACATGATTTTAACACATATCAGTCTCCTGATATTATAATGGTAATTCATTAAAATAATAATAATAATAATTTACTATTATATATGCATAGGTGATACTATTGCTAACATAAAAAAAAAAACCTTCATTAAATAGAGAATTAGTTTTAAAGAATATCTTATTTTTAAAATTATTTTTTAAAATATATTATTTAAATAAAAAAGCTCGTAATATTACATAATTTTTATATAAATCTTATCAAGATAAATAACTTGACTCTATACTTTTTTTAATAAAATTCACTTGAAGTTAAGAAAATGTGTTAAAGACAATGCAGATGGGAGATGAAAATTAGTATTTTAAAAGTGGGTCGATGATTAAACCGATGGAAGCATTGGGCCGGGGAAGGTTTAATGATTTAATTGTAGTTAAATTAGACTTGAACTTTCAGGAATTAAATAATATTTTAATATTATATAAAATTTGTTTATATAAGACATGTTCAAATTGATTCTCGATTTTGGACAACTCTTGACTTGTTTAATTGAACCTTTATGATTTATTAGATAATTGATTTTTTGGGCATAGTACGTAATGTGACAAATTCGTCGCTCCGAGTTAATTTTCACAACTGTATATAATGTCAAATACAATGTTCAAATTAAAAAATTTCACATGAGATCTCATTATTAAAGATGCTTATGACCAATAAAATTTATATGATTGCTTTAAAAGATAAAGAGAAATAATTATTTATTCAAAATTTAAGAACAATAGACCTGGTAAAAGGACACACAGAGGCGCAATCTCTTTCGCTGTTTCTACTTTCTTGTAAAGCATGTACTTTTGTATTAGATTTTAAATAAAAAGTACTCTTAGTAAAAAAGTTAAAATTAGACTAATAATAAGAGTTAAAATAGTTACCAGTAGCCTTTAATGAAAATCTTAATTCTGGCTAAGATATTCAAAATTTGCTTTAAAGAAAGGAGATATGAGTATATTATTGACAAATATAATAAAAACTAAAATAGTTAAAATAGACTTGACTCAATAGACTAACTTGTTTAACCCACTAAAATTGGTGAGTCAAGCTGATTAATTTATATTCAATAGTTTATCTAATTCATTCCGTTTTGGTTTGTTAAAATGCTAATAACGGATTGGACTGGGCTTATCCATTGAACTCATTTTTTATTTTTAAAATTTAAAAATAATTATTTATTAATTAAATATTTTTTATTATTTATTATAATTTTTTTATTTTCTTTATTTTTATGAGCTAGTCCATTAATTTAATAATTCATAAACTCTTTTTATTTTTTTATTATTTAGTTTTTAGCGAGCTGACTTGTTAATCAGTTCGCTCACTCTTAACCGAATTAGACTAGAAAATTTAGTCCGCTTACTCTTAAATTTTAGTTTTATTTAAATAGAATAAAATTATTTTCAGTAAAATATATCTATAGTTTAGACCAAAGATTAAATAACACGACTTTACACTTTATTTATTAAAATTCATATAAAATTTAAAAGATATATTAATGACAACGTTAACGAGTGATAAAAAATAGTACTTTTTAAAATTAGACCGAGGATTCCATCGGTAAAGACATTGTGCAAAGTTTAACGGTTCAACTTTAGTTAAACTAAGATTGAACTATTGGTATTTAAATAATATATTAATATTATATGATAAAGTAAATTACAAACTAATATAAAATTATAAGAAAATAAGTTATTCAAAATTTTGAATTAACATAAAAAAATAAGAATTTTATTAGAGGCTGAAGATAAATAGCTAATAATAGTAAAAATTTATTAAAAAGAAAATTATTTATTATATTTTTATAATTTTAATAGAATAATTATGTATTTTTTTTTATTTGTAAATACTTAAACAGGACTAAAGTTAACAAAATTAAAAAAAATCATGTTATATATAAAAAAATTTATAATAAATAGTTAAATAATAGTAACTTATATATACATTTCATATATGAGCTTTTATTTATTCTTAAAAAATTTAAAATTAAATATTTTTAAAAAATCAAAAAAGGAGAAAATTAATTATTTTGAAAAAGACTAATACACTAGTAGCAATTCATACCCAGTTATGATCGGCTTTGATCAAATTTTTGGAACAGTTTGTAGTGAGGAGCTGATTGATTCGTAGTCTAACTGATCAGTGTCATCTGATTTTCAAAGCTATATAAAATTAAATGTATATAATATTAAATAGGATGTTCAGATTATAAAACTCTAAAAGGAATTAATCTGTTAAAAGTCTTTATTTTTTCATAAATAAATAAGATGAGGCGAAATATCATAATTCTTTAAGGCAACAAAATGATATTAGAAGGGACGGATTTTTAATTACCATTTATATTACACAACTAGAAATCATATATGGAAGCATTGTCATGAGATACATTACAATTATGGGATATTTATATATGAACTTGAAGATGATTATAACTAAACAACAAGAAGTGCAACTCAATGACGGCGATTGAAGACTAGATGAGTCCTGCTTTCTTCTTCATCCTCTTCCTCATACTGGGACAACCTTGAGAGTTGAAGAGGCTCTAAGCTGTGAGATGAGGGTGCTGTGTCCATTGCAAGGTTAAACCCAGGGTTGTTATTGAAGTTGCTCATGTTCATAAGGTTTGTTGAAGCACTTGAATTGTTGGAGTATGCTGGCTGCATTGTTGTTGCATTGATGTTTGGTTGTTGAAGTTGTGTGCTCTGAAGAGCATTTGCATATGCAAACCTATTATTCATCAGCTGATTTTGCAACATAGCTACCTCTGCTTGCAAAGATGCCACCTGAATTGGCTAAAATATGAGTTTTCATTAATCAATCAAAAGTAAATTCTTGAAAACCTCAACATTTTTTCTGTCACTTTTTCTATATTACCTGTGGCATCTTTCACTCCTCTCTTTACTCATTGTATCTCTGAGTGTCTACACTTTCAAAACCATTTACCAAATACGTACAAAAATTTAGATTAATTTTAGACATATACAAGCCGTTTTCATGTCCTAATTATTTTAATCAGTTTAGGAGCAATAATCATACACAATACCATAAACAACCCAGCTATACAACTGCTATATATATTTTCTTATCTATTTTAAAGATCAAACATATATAGTAACATGATCGTCGCCAATTCCACAATTAAGGTACTAAAGAATTTTTTATTTTATTTTTTGTGTGCGCGAGGCGGCAGGTGTATAAAGTAGAAAGAATTAAAAGTGACATCTTTAATATAGAAAAGCATCTAATATAACACCACACACATATATACAACACAACACTAAATAGAAGCTGCAAAACTAGTGATAGAAATTGGAAACAAACCTGTTGTTGCAAAGCCAAAATGGTGGACACACAACCATAAACTGGATCAGAAAGCCTTGCCTGAGCCTCATATGATATTGTTGCTGCAGCTTCATTGCGTTGGTTGGCTGGAATATTTGACAAGAGTTTTGACACATTGCTAGCCCCAAACACCTTGTGCACCGCTGCAAACTTGGCTGCACCCTGGTCAGTACCAAAGTGGGGTGCAAAGATGCACCCACCAATGCACTTCCTCCTCAAGAACTTGCAAGCCCCACATGGGGTTGTAAGCCCCATTGCCTCCTCTTGAGCTAGTGCTGCCATGGCGCGCCTTGAAGAAGTGCCTCTACGCCTTGTTCCAGAAGCGCTACCACCACCTGGTGACTCAGCCATGTCAATTAATTGATGGGTTTATTATGGTAATTAGAGTGGATAAGAAAATGGGTTGCTGTTGGTGCTTATAAGGGGTGTTTTGGGGGAGTGCACGTTGGTCTTGTGAGGGGGTTGGCATGAGGAATGTGGTGATTAAGCTTTTGTGTTGTTTGAGAAATGATGAGGACGTTGAGGTTGGTGCAAGAAGAACGTGCATGTGATGAAATGCTTCTTGTTTGTTGGCGTGTTTGTTAGATTGTATGTATATAATATTAAGGTAACGATGAAACAGCGGTTGTGTGAAACTTGAAAAGGTTGTTGTCTTTATAGGGAAAGCACAGGAATTGCTCAGTCTTTCTTGCTCTTCGCGTGTGGGGTGGTAAAACCAGATGCGCATGGTCCTCATGGCTAGACACTCATCCAAGAATACCCTCTTATTTTTCAGTTTCATTTTTTCTTTCTTTCTTATTTTAGCCATAAATGATCATTAAGAACGAATATAAGCAATCAAGATTGGGCTAGTGACGAGATTTGAGTAATTTTTCTTTAAAGCTTGAGATTTTTAAGTATTTATTTAATAAACTTTTATGATTAAAAAATTTTTGTACATAAATTTAAACATAAAATTTATTAAAAAAATTATTTAAATAAATTAGATAAAAATTATTCAAATATTATATTTTTAAAAATCAGTAGAGTTTTAATTACTTTTATAATTTTATTGTAACACCTTTTAAATCTCATGTTAGCATTATTATAAAAAAAATTATTATGCATAAAAAAACAAAGTTAAGATACGTTAACTTTTCATAAGACATAAAATTGACCAATTTATTTGTTGAATCATTTTCTATCATCTTCACAATTGTTTATATCAAATTTTATATAATTTAAACATTTATAAATTTATTATTTAAAAATTATTTTTTTTATTTTAAAACACATCACAAGTTAAAATAAAATAGTGTAACTAAGTATTTATTACTTTTGCTTTTGAATAAAACTTTATAAAATTTATTTATTTAATAAAAATATTCAAAGCAACCCTTAAATTGACAGATGAATCTGACTCATACAGTAAATTTAAAGTCATCTATCACCGTTATTATTGCTTTTTCTATTTTATTCATTTAAAATAACATCTCAACTAAAACAAACTAATAATTATTTATAAAGAAAAAACTATTTTTAATAAAATATAATTTTTAATTATTAAGAGGAAAAGAATGAAAAATGCATAATTTTATATGTTTTTAAAAGTAAAAAAATAAATAATTTAAAATGTTCAAAACTTAACTATTGCTTTTATATTGGTCTAAACTAGAAATTCGAACTCAGAAATCACATCTTATATTAACACAATTTTATACAAGTTAATCATGTGTTGACTGATATTGCCCACTTTTAATAACTATGAAGTTGAACAATGAGATGAGAAATATGAGAACTATTTTTTTTTTCTTCAGAAATTTTAACCAAACACTTTTTCATTCTTTTAAAAAAACAGTTTTATAATAATATTTTAAAAAATAAACTGAAAGAAAACAAAAGACAATCAAACAAGACGTTTCACATTTTTTCGAATTTGAAAGTCTTTCAAGTTTAGTGTGACACAGCTTCCTTGTACCCGTCAAGTCCCAGCTATTCGTTGTTGGATAGTGTGAAATTTTTTATGTCATGAAAAAAATGTGAAGTTTTTTTTTTTTTTTTCTAATGGTCACGTTTTGGAAAACCAATAAATAAGGTCCAAAGTAATAAGAGCAACAAAGCCCAAAACATATTATCATCATGGGCTTGAGTATATAGATCATGGATTGATAGGGGGTAGGAAATTGCTTTTTCCACCTTTTTTTTTTCTTTTTACATTCTATTAAATTTTTTATATAATTAAAAAAATCTTAACAATAATTTTAATTATTAAATCATTTATTTTCATTTCAAATTTAAAAATTCATCCTTAGTTCTACCATTACTTCACTTTTTTTTCTTCATTCTTCTAAATATATTTTAAGTTTTATTATTCTCATAGAATTTCCATTATTTTGAACATGCTATAAAAAAATCATCTTAAAATAGCATCTTTGTCAATCTTTGTCAGCCTATCAATATCAATACTCTTTTAAATTATTTTTTTTATAATTAAGATTTTATACTTTTAAAAATTAATTTCTAGAATTATTAATTATTTTTAAAAATAAGTTTCAAAATTAGGAATCTAAAATTTTAAAAATTAATTGTTAAAATTAAGTTTTTACACTTTCAAAAATTTAATTTCCAAAATTATTAATTATTTCTAAAAAAATTATTGAAATTAGGATTCTACACTTGCAAAAATTTATTTCAGAAATGTAGTTTTTAGACTTCTAACAATTAATTTGCAGAATTATTAACCAATTCTAAAAATAAATTTTCAAATTTAAGACTCTACACCTCTAGAAATTAAATTTCAGAATTAAATTTTTACACTTTCTAGAAATTAAGTTATGAAATTATTAACTATTTTCAATAATTTTTAAAATTAAGATTCTACAATTCCATAAATTAATTTTAAAAATTCAAATTTTACACTTTCTGAAATTCATTTTTTAAAATTCTAAAAAATTAATTTTTAAAATTATTAACTATTTCAAATAATAAATTTCTAAATTTAGAATTCTACACTTCTAAAAATAAGTTTCTTTAAGATTTTATACTTTTGAAATATAATTTTTAAAATTATTAACCATTTAAAAAAATTAAAATTAAAATTTGCAAAAAGCAACTCCCTACTCTAGGTATACGAAGTTCACATTTAGTGTATTTAATAACGATAATTTGATTATATTTTATAAATAATTAATTATTAAATGAATAAATTGATTTATTTAATATATCTGATTATTACCTTAAAAAATTGTAGCCAAACTTTTATAAGAGCAAAATATTAATCATAACTTCTTTAGATTTTTTTTAAGAATTTGAAAAATAAGAAAAAAAGAATGACAGTTAATAAATCTTCTCTCATTTAAAAACTTTTAAACAAAAATAAAAATTTATTTTTTTTGTTTTTGCTTTTAAAAATGATATTTTAAAATATTACTTAAAAAATAAAATAAAATTTATGTTGATAAATAAATTTTAGGGTTTAGAGTTTTAGGGTTTATGTTGATAAATAATTTTTTTTTTTTTTTAGAAAGAAAAAACTGTTTTTTTTTCTTAAAAAAATTAATTATTTTTTGATTTCCTTCCCTCCAAATGGAAGTTGTAATGACTTTTTTCTTTTCCTTAGATGAGTAGTATTTTTTCTCTCCTTTGAGATCTTTTTTCTTCCATCTCTCTTTCACTTAGCCACCTTCCCTTTTCCTCCTTCACCTCACCCTAATCGTCTTCTGATAACCATTTGAGACTTTTTTTTTAACATCGGCAAAGTAATTCAATTATTTTGTTAAAATTAATTACTGAATTTACTATTTTACTTTCCATTAATAGATTTTTTTTTATTTTTAAATTACTCAAATTAGTAAGTAGTTCATATATAAATCTTTTATTTTTAAAAGATATATCTATATATATAATATAATTATTTGAAATATTAATTTAAAAAAAATAGTTTAACTTAATTCTATAGCTATAAATAATAAAAAATTATATATAAGTATTATAATTTTGCATAAACAAAAATATATGCAAAATATTTCTTTTACAAGGAATCTAAAATTTATATAAAATAATAAAATAAATTTAAATAATTTTTATCTTTAAAATTTAAGAACAAAATTAACAAAAATATAAAAAATTAAATTATTATAATGAAGGAGAAATAATTTACGCATTATTTATAAACAATTTTAATCTTAAAAAATACAATAATAATAAAAATGTAAAAGAGACTAACACTACTAAATATTTCACTTAATAAATAGAATACTCTTGTTTATAATATAAAAGATAATAATATAAATATTTTATATAAGAAAAGGACATTAGTAAAAAAATAACACTTAATATTATACTTAAACTTTTACGTGAATAAATATATAAAAACAACAAAAAATCTCTCCCGATTAAAAGCTCGGCTATTTGAAGAAAAAAAAAGTTTACAACAAGAACATACGCTATTCTTCTGATGCTGTAAACTACAAAGCTCACATTCTATAAACAACTAAACATGAAGCTTTTATATATATATATATATATGAAATATGAAAACCAAAAAGTGAAAAGCTTTGTATTTGACACTAATGGAAGGTCATTCTTCGAGAAGATAAAGGTGAAATGGGAGACCCATCACTACTTTGAGAGTCCCCTCTCCATGCATCTTGCACTTGAGCAGCAAACTGCAAATTCCACAAAACATCCTCTGTAGAGGGCCTCTCTGCTGCCTCTTTAACCAGACACCTCACACATATCTCCATCATTGTCTTCAATGATTGATCCAAACATGCCTTGCTAACTGCAGGATCTATTATGCTTCTCCTAGCTTCGCCATCCCCTGTTATGCTTGCTTGCAACTGCCTCATGTTCCAATCAATATACTCAAAGTCATCAAATTTCAAATGTATTTTTTATATAAATGCTATTGTTAATGAAAACTAATATTATCTTGCTAATTAATCATGTACTTTGATACCCTATGTATCGGCATGTGAATTTTAGTGAGAACTCTAGTTATTCCAACATCCTTATCCTTCAATAGGTTTAATTTGCACAAACTTTTAAATAATAATAATAATAATAATAAAACTCTTTTTATAAATTAAATTCAACTTATGCATCTTAAAGTTTAAATAAGTTAAATGAAAAATATTTTTAAAAAGTAAAGAAATATAAATTAATTTTAACTCATAGCAGAAATTTAATTCAATTTATTTCTTTATCCAAACTAAGTCCTAATTAATTTTTATTTCAAACTAGTTGGCAACCAATGCTCACACACAGGTAAGTCACCCGAGCAGGAAAAGATTTTTTACATGTGACAAAGATGGACCTTCTTTTCACATATAGTTAATAGATTTCTAACTTCTTTTGTGTGAAGAATTTTTCATTTTTTTTTTGAACATTTAATTAACCTCTCTTAAGTAAGATAATTTATTCAAATATAATAAATTCATACTCACCTGTATGCATAAGTAGATTTGTTCAGCAATATCAAAACGGAATTGTTAATTGAAACTACTATTATTTTGCAAGTTAATCGTTTACTTTGATACCCATTGAGCATGTGACTAATTAAGTCTGAACTCTGTTTATCCCAGAAGTTTTGTTCATTCATAGTTAATTTATATCTCAATTTTTCCTGCTTCATTGGAGTGATTTTTTCTTTTTTTCCACATTCAACTGATATCTTAGTGTGAGATAATATATTCACTTATATAGCAGTATGCGTACTTAGATTTGTATAGCAATATATAGCAGGCAAAGATGCTTAGAGAAAAATCTAGTAAAACAGAAAATGAAATTATGGGATTTCTTCTAATTTGTGAAACAATATATGCCATTGGTTCTTTGATCCAGAACATTATCTGGAAATTGGTTGCTTTTTTGTTTTATGGCCGTTTCAAAGTACTTCTTTATTCTAGTAATAACAGAGACTGTGATTTAAGCCTAAGATTCATCCTTACCTGGATATTGGACACACTAACAACTCTAATTTTGAATAATTAATTAAAGGGTTAAAACAGAATATAAAATTGGAAAATATTGCATAAATCAGAATCTCATTTAATACCAGATCCTTTAAAGTGTCCACATTCCTTGACTTTATTGTCCTTCCTAGAATGAGTTCCAGCAGTATTACTCCAAAGTCATAAATATCAGACTTGTCTTCATTTTTTACACTGCAAAACCACAGCATTTTTCAAAATAAGTCACTTTCAGAATTATTTTTATAATATGTATCACAAACATAAACCCATCCATGCATATGATATGTTATGTGAAATTACAACATAATGGGTCCTCTTTTTCATTGACAGAAGCTGAGTGCATGTTGTTGAAAGTGTGCGTGCAACAGCTGCATACGTGAATGTTTTATTCAGTTTTTCGAAATTTAATTTTCTGTTGCTTAGGAGTTCTGATTCTGTTTTTATCATATTAGAAATTGTTTTAGTCATGCCTGAAAATAAGGGATATTCTGTTTTTTTTATGTTTGACTCCAACTCTATTTAAAGAGCAAATGAATAACAGCTATGTATCCTCCTTAAAATATATCTGTTCTTCTTCTCTTAATATTTTTCAAAACTACACATGTTGCTCAAAACCAGATTAAATTTCCATTACGCACCTTTTGTTAAAGCTAGGAGTTCTGAATCCGCTGGAAGGATTTCTATGCACAACCTGAAAGGAAAAGAAAATCTTTTTATAATTACAGGTAAAATAAAAGACCAAACTTAAAGGTAAAACATGAGTTCTTTATTCTCATAAAAGAACGCATAATCATACATAATTATTTTCTTCATACCTTTCCCATGTTAGATAACAAAGGCAGGTTATAACTGCTGATTTTTGCAACAAAATTTTGGTCAAGTAAAACATCTTTTATTTTGAGATTGTTTGAATATACACCAGGGACAATCCCTGTATGCAAAAATTGGATGCCCTTTGCTACTCCAATTGCAGCTTCTATGCGTTGAGTCCAGGTCAAGGATTTTCTATAGTGCCCATCTGCCACATAAGAGTTTAAGGTGGAAAATATCAGAAACGGCATTATTGTTTCAATCTTCCATTGTGACTAAAATGATTGGTTTGACCAATACTATTGGCTCCTAAAATACAAATTTAGAAGTTCATGAAAGTGATACATAGAGATAGATTACTACTAATGGAATTTCATCTAGAGAAATTTCCATATCCGTTCTTTTGTATTTCATGTTAGAATCAAGTCCATTTTTACACTCTCCACTCTGTGAAGCTAGATTTTGAATCACCTGAGATCCAGCTCTTGAGTGTACCATTTGGTACATACTCAAAGACAATAAATATGCTTCTGACACTTGAATCATCCAAGTAAGTTTCAAAGCAGTGTCCCAGAACACTGACTAAATGACGATGCCTGTATTTGGATATCAGCTCTATGTAGTGCATAAAATCTTGACTGTTGTAGCTTTTGGTCAGTTTTACACTCCTAATGGCGACAAGTGAACCATCCTTTAGTTGACCTCTGTTCATCTGAAGCATAAAATAAAATAAGAACACATTATTTTAAAATAAAACACAAGTCAAACAAGTGTTAAAGGATATAAAAGTGGAGGTTTAGTGGAATTGTTTCTTCATGGACAAATTACTTTCCATATGCTGTGATATTATGACATGACTACGTATCAGCCAAACCATATTAGTTTTAGAGAAAAGTAATGTCATTTTACATTTTAAGCTAAGAGACAGAGTGATATTCAGTATAGTACCTCTCTTGTACCATTCCAGCTGTGTCTTAATTTGGGGCACGTTTGGAAAAAACAACCTAAGTGTTTATTTAATAGAAGTTCTGTACAAGAGAGCTTGTATCATAAGCGCTTAGTTCAATAAGCATATTTTCATAAGCTTAGGTGCTTATATGGTAATTGATAAGAGAAGTTCAAGTAAGCTCTGTTAAAGTTCTTTCAAAAGCCCCTAAATCAGTTAGTATTATTAGAAAGAAAGGACCAATAGAATATCTAAAAAGGATTTTGCTCCTTTGGTGTTCCTCGTTGGTAGATCAAATATCAGCCCTTTATTTTGAATTTCATATTTTAAGAACTTCATCGTCAATTTATATTTTTGATCTAACAAAAGAATTAAAGAACTAAATACAAAACTATGTGGACTGAAGAAACCTTTTTTTCATCCGAGCTTAATTCAAAGAAAATAATCCTCTATAATCAATATAGACATTAACTTAAAACAAGTAACATACCTTTCCCTGGGAACCTTCACCCATAAAAGAAGCCATGTCAAAGTTGTTTGTAGCTGCCACAATCTCTTCCAGTGAGAAATGTCGATAAGGTGGCAGGCCAACTGTTCCGAACTTCATTGTTTGAGATACATACCCTTTAGTGTAGGAAAAATAAATGTTTGTCATCTACCTTTTATACGGAAGGATGCAAAGGAAATAATAAAATTCAAATCTTCTAAATCATATTCTTCAATAATATTAAGAAATGCAATTAAACATCTATTGCTTATGAAGTCTTACTACATGTAGTTTACTGGGAGCTATCGTTTTCAATTCATGACAAGAGTTTAACATTTTCCATGTCCAATTAATGAATATATTTCAGCAATAGGAAAAATTGATGAATATTCCTTAGATTAAAATTGGGTTCTTCTTAATTCTAATCATCTTAATCTTTCAATATATGTTACTACTAGATTTCTAATACATAAAACAAAATTTTGTTGATCAGCTTCGAGCTGCCACACTAAAGACAGGATGCGATTTTGTATTTCCAATATTGCAAGATTTGAGTAAAACTAAAACATCTAAATGAAATTACCAAATTTCCTTCAAACAACGTCTTTTCAAGCATTTACAAATTTAGATCAAGAATTGTTGGTGATTATATAACTTCAGTATTTTTGGCTTCACAAAATTCTTATTCTCCATTGTAATGGGCTATGCCTAGAGTGAAGAGTCCAATAATTAATCACACCAATTAACAAAAGACTTGCATATGTGAGATTTTTCAAAACTCTGCAAGTTGAGAAATACATAAATTGTTCAAGGTAGTTAGAGAACGTATGCAAACACACATGTATGCATTTCAGAGTGAGAGAGTTACTTGCATCAGAGAGTAACTTAGAGGTGTATCCAGAAGCTGCATTTTCTGATATTAATTTTGTAGTAGGATTCTTCATTCTGCTTTTGACATTTCCTCTTCTAATAATAATAAAGAAAAGCAGTGCAACAAGTGCCAATCCTCCAAAGGTTCCACATACTATCCCAAGTGAAAGAACTGCCTTAGATACTCGCTTGTGCTTCTTTCCCACAGGTACTATTCCCACAGCTATGGCTTCAGTGTGGCAAAAGGGCTGTGCATGTTGATTTTGATTTGTCTCTTCTAGACAATTTTTAGCATACAAAACAGTTCTATCATTGGAATTTGACACTAAACATTTCGGTAAGCTCCCAGTCAAAAGATTTGAGGATAAATCCACTACTTCAAGTCCCGGATTGCAAGACAGATTCTCAAAAAGCATTCCTGTTAATTTGTTTCCAGAAATGTTCATATAAGTGATAGAAGGAAGTGATAACAGTCCTAGTTGGAATGGCCCAACAAATGTGTTTTCTGAGATGTCAAATCTCTCCAGCTGATAATATGAGCTCACATCATCAGGGATACTAGACCTGAAGTTATTGTTTCTGAGTACTAGAGTAACTAATTTGTTACCAAGCCGGGGAAACCGAGGTCCAAAAGCATTATCATCCAATTCCAGCACTTGAAGGTTTGTCAAACGGCTCAAATCAGGTACTGATCCATAAAAATGGTTATGAGAAAGTGAAAGAATTCTCATATTTTCCAAATTACTTAAGGAATCAGGAAGAGAACCATTGAACAAGTTGTTTTTCAAACTTAACACAGTTAAGGCTGGAAAGGAATCCAGCCATTCAGGAAGGTGGCCAGAAAACATGTTGTTATCTAGAATCAGTGTCTGGAGGTGTGACAGTAATGGAAACTCTTGAGGGATGGCACCATATAGAAAATTTGAACTCACGTTAACTATTTCAAGTGATGATAACCGCGCAATTTTACCAGGCAATGGACCCCAAATACCAAGAGAAACCAAAGTGAGGACTTTCAAACTGGGAAGCTTGACCAGTGTTGTGACAAAGGAATCAATTGAGAAGTTTCTAGGGAGAAGTAGAGCTCTTGATTCACCAACAATGTTCAACTGAGTTATGGTTCCCTCATAGCATACAACAGTAAGAGAAGATGATGAATCAGAGCTGCAAAAGTCTGTGTTGTTCTTCCAGCTGCTTAAAACAGCAGGAAAGTTCAATAGCTGTTGAATTCTCAGAAGGGTCTGAGAGTGAGAGGATTGTAGTTGCTCTGAATAATGGATTGAAAGTAAAATCGTTACCAAAAGCAAAAGCACTGAAGAATGGGGCCTATTTCCCATCGGCAAGTTAGCAGAAGAGCTAAAAAGCATGCAATAGACAATGGGAGATTTTGTTATGTTCTATAAAGTTCTCTAGATTACAATCTTCTCAAAATTGAAACTTGGTTCTTCAACACATCCATTAGCAGATTCCCTGAAATTTCAAGAAGGCATGTATAAGAAAGTGTGTAGAATATATTGAATTAGACGACTAATGCATTTCAATCCTTAGTGTGAATGAACTAAACATCTTGACTAAATCTAGAGCCAAAATTCGCCAAGGTTGTAGGCATTCAAGGCTCAAAGAAATTCATTTTTTGTGGAAAAAACAACCAAAAAAATAAACAAGCAGAAGGTAAAACCACCTAAGAAAAGTTTTGCAATGATATAACTCAACATCAGAAACGAAGTAAATTAACAAATTAATGAGTTCTTTCACTTCTTTGTGTTTAGCAGTGTTTAAAATACAGTGTATGCCGCTTCTAATTTAGACCAAACCAAGCAAATCTGATTATTGTAATTGCAGATATTCACCATCTTTCATTACATCTTATTTTTTGCTCCAACTAGAAAATCAGCAGAACAAACAAGTCATCCCAGCACACATAAAAAAAAAGTTTTAAAAAGGGGAAAAGAATTAAATGTTTTTAAGTACCTTAAGAGCAGCATGAACAAACGTCCCAAATGAACAAAATCAAATTTTTTTCCTACCATACACTCAAACTAATCAATATAACATATGTCAAAGTCTTGCTGACCCACAGAAGAAACCACTTTTCCAGGTGTCACCTCACACCAAGACAAGTTGGTGACACGGGTTGAGAAAGCAAAATGAAAGTGCTAACGCTGGACTGTTTCACAAACCAACATTTCGTCATTAATAAATGAATGTTCACATTTTTCTTCCATTTTTCTTCTCTTTTGTTATTGTTATTGAAATCCTAAAGGGCAGCCACATCTTCACAAAGAAAAGCAAAAGAAAGATTCTTTGCAGAGAAGGTATATAACCCTTTATTCTTTACTATGATTCTTTAAAATGTCATCATGTATGATTTGGTTCAAACAGCACAATTTGTAGTTTTCTATAATTTTGAGGTGATATTTGCTAATTATGGCTTTGGATGAGAGTGCTGTAACAAAAGCTTTCGCTTTCATGGACCGGTAAGCCTTAGCTTTATGAGAAATTATACTATTACAATTATACATATATATATATATATATATATACAATAATTTAAATAAATAAAACAAGTGATGTAATGAAAAGATAAAGAGAGAAAAAAAAAGTGTCATATAAGTTGTACAGTTTTATTATTCCAATATCATATATATAGCTTTATTATCTTATCTCACTTAAACTTTTTTGCATGGTCTTCATTTTATATGTATCCATTACTTTTGGCGCCTTTCTCTCTTCGCACCACTTGCTCTGCCACTCTTAACTGTGTCAGCGATAGAATTAATGAGCCCGTCTTTTACATATGTGATCATTAAACTGTTTTATTTTTTAATTAGGAAATTTTAGCATTTGATTAGCTTCAGAAAGTGTTTTTATTCTTCATTTTAATTACAAAAATCTTGTTTTTACTATATTTTTTATTTTAAAAATTTATAAAAAATATATAAAAAAGAACTCTTTATTTTTACTAAGCACAACTTTTTGACTGAAATGATTTTGCTTGGTTGTTGATTTTGTGTTTTTTGTTGATCACTGAATCACTGAAAAATAGTTGTTATGGCATTTATTATAAACTTACTATTCTTGTGTGTTAAATATAAAATCATTTTATGTCTAACTTTTGAGATAATTAATTGATGATTTTGTATTACAATCTAAAATTTGATTCTTGACATTGTATTCTTTTAAATAAAGATTAAATTTCAACACAAAATTGGATTTAATTTTGAGCCCAGTGGACAATAGTTTAAAGGAATAATTTGTAATTAAATTTCAGCACAAGATAGAAAATGTATTTGGGTGAGAGAAATCACTAATGTGCTTTTACCTATTAATTTTAGTTCTTAGGACAGTAGATATCTATGACACCAAATTCAGATAGCTACGTCAACATGCAACACTATTTAAGGAGAAGAAACGAATAAGTAGATAAGAAATATGCGGTGGGGTGTTTAAAACTTCTAATGTATCTCATGTTATATTCGAAAATTTTCAACCTCATGAAGATTATGGATAAGTGTTAAAAATAAAGCTAATAATAATTTTATACATGTATTGTGAATAATAAATTATGATTAATAGTTTAGAATTCAATATTCACTTATATCTTTCTTGGCAACAATTATCGATTTTACTAGTCACGATTAACATTTAAGATGAATCAAGTAATACCCTGTTAGTTGTGAATTAAACATGTGGTAGACTTTCCTTTAAGCTTTTCATAATAATTTTTTTAAACAATTTACATTATCATTTAATCATTTTTAAATTTTTATTTGTAAATTTTTTAATTAGTTGATAATATAAAAAAGTCTTAAATATGTTTTTTATGCTTGAATTTTAGTAGAATTTTTTAATTTTAGACCCTTTAAACAATATTTTTTTAATTTTAGTCCCTACTTTTTTATAAATTTTTGTTTTTACTCTTTAATGCTGACGTGATCAAATAAAAAATTAATACTTAACAGTATTTTAATAGACCAAATCAACATTAGAAACTAAAACAAACAAAACTAAAATAAAAAATTCATTAAAACGTGAGGACTAAAATCGTATTTAAACTTGTGATAATGAAAATATATCAAAATAAACTTATGAAAAATATTTAGAATTGCTTTCAAAACATTATAACTAAATCCAAATCAAATAGTTATAATTAAATATTCCAAACAAAAAAGCATTTTCTATTTTGATTTCCAAAAAAGTAAAAAAAAATTGAAATTTTATATTGATTTAAAAAATAATTAAAAATAAAGAGAAAATTACCATTAAAAATCATTGTGAGATATATCAAACAGTTGAATGAACCAGTTGATAATATTTTAGAGGTCCCTCTAAACCAACATATATCTGCCAATTGGTTTCATTTGCACATGGCTTTGAGTATCTTACTTCCTTGTCAACTTTTCAATCGAATCTTAAAATATAAATGGCCTTTAATTTTAAGTACTTGTTTGTAGCCGAAAGATAATCAATTTAGGAACATGAAGATCTATTTGAGAGAGAAAATCATAGACATTAAAAAACAATTTTCAAAGTTTATTTATCTTCACCCAATGCTACACTCGTATTAATTATTTTCAAAGATAATTAATTTTTTATTATACCCAAGTTAAAAACTCATATATAATAAATATTTAAAAGCATATAATAGAAATAGCAATTAATAAAATGCTTAATAACTCATCTCCAGTTCAGTATTCAAGAAAAGGATTAGTGCCAGAGTAATGCAATACAAATATAAAATCATACTAATATATTTTTATGCAAATTTATATGAATTTCTATTTGATAATGAATTCATTATAATTTGTCGGTGCTGATTGAGAGTTTTTATGTGTCACAGACAGATCCCAACAAAGGAACCATGGCACAACAGGAAAAGGCATATTAGGTAAAGAAAAAAAAATGTTAATCACATTTTTTTAATATACTCTTATTATTAATAATTAAAAGTAATAAAAAAATATGAGCCTCAATTTTTATTTCTTTTAAATAAAAGTCGTTTATATTTTTATATTTTTCAATAAATTTCAATTGATAATATATTTTAAAAAGCATTATTGTAAGGGTCGATTTCATGAATGATGACCCACCCATTGAATTGAAGGGACAGAATCAAGCAATAAAGGAACTAACCCACTATGGAATTCAGAGATCTCCTTTACAAAGACATAAGAGAAGAGCCAAAGGATAGTAATATGAAGGGTGTGATTATGGGTAAACCCACATGCTTCTGTCACCCATCATTCCCCCCCCCCCCCCCCCCCTTTTTTTCTTTTGCCTTTCACTTTCAAGAGAATAATTTTCCCAGGAATTTTCATAGGTTCATAGTTCAAACCCTTCATAATTGTAGAAGTCGTTGGAATTTGATCTTTAATCAATTGAGAAATTGGACGTTGATGTTCTTTTATGGTCCCAATCAAAAGAAAGATAAAGCCACATTTGGGAACACTCCTTTACTTTTGAGGCGGTCCCCAACATGCAGCTGAAAGCTTGGTTTTGATATAAGAATCATTTAAACAATAATACTAATGACAATATCTGAATTTACCTAGATTAATGTAAAACTAATTTAAATTTTATTTATATTTTTAAATGTTATTGAGTAAAATATACTTAATAAATAGAATTCGGTGTGTATTACAAATATTTTGTAATATAATTGAGATTCAAAGTATACTGGATAAGACACGACTCAGTCATTTTCACTTAAATAGGAAACCGAATACTTTTTCAGCCTCATCTTGAGCCAAATGATACCTACACCATTTTAGCCTCATCTTAGGCCAGAAAGTACTTAACCTTTTCAGCCTCACCTTGGACCAAATGGTACTCACACTCCCTTCGGTCACATCAAAATAGATTAAGGCTAATTAAGATAATTAATTAAATAAAGAAGGGTTAATTATCTAACTAATCAGAAGGTAATTTAGGGCTGACTTATCTAACCTAATATTATGTCTATAAAAAAAGGTAAGAAGTATAGGTAAAGCAAGACTGAAGAATATTTAATAACATTTATTGTTTTATACCAAATACTTACTTGACCGTCAGAGTGACATTACAAGTATCCTTCCCCCTACGGACAAAGAGAATCTAGAACATTTTACGAGAACGTCACAATAATACGCGAGGATAGAAGTTATAGTGAACTAGTATATCCTTTGTAGAAACACAAAGCCTATTATTCTCACATTGGTTTTGGACTTGTTCGATCATTGTTTCCAATCAGTCATACCTTCGAAGACACTTGTGTTTGGACGATGGAATGATAATGTGAGATAAGAAACAAGAGAGTAAAAAAAACAGAATAAAAATAAAGTGCAAAAATTTATGATGTTTTTAGATGAGTAGAAATATGAAAGAAAGAAGTGGAACTTGTTTATTTTTTAAATAGTTTCTTTTAAGTAAAAAAAATTAAAATTTATTTGTTAACGTAAATTTTATTTTCATTCTTTTCTTAAAAAAATTAACTTTTTTTAAAACTTAAAAACTAAAACAAAAATAAACAACCCCTTATTGTCAATCTTGTTGACAACATGCACTCCACTCCCTTTGATAGATTCCACTAATTCCTAACATTTCATAATCCATAAAGTAAGCTTAGAACTTGTTAATTTAAAGGATAGAATCAAATAATATAACAAAAGTTAAGATTGTACTTATAAGAAAATTATTAATTTTATTCTTCTAGTTATCGGCACATTGTTACTGAGAATGTTATAAAAGTAAGGATAAAGAACTGTGACTAGCAGTAACTTGTGTTTTATGTTTGGGTTGAAAGTGACAATTAATCAACAAAACTTAGTAGACTAGAATAGTCGGTTACCAGGTAACAGATTTTCAAAAGATAAGTGACGTAACCTTGTATTGTACCTAAGAGTATGCTTAATAGTGTATGTAGTGAGTGCTTACAAGACTTAGGAGAAAAATCACCACCACCTATCATATTAATGTGGTAAACTCCAAATCTCCAAATCATAGTAGATTTCCCTACACTTTTTTTTTTTTTATATATAAAAATAC